CAAATCAGAGTGGCTGTTCAGCAGTACTAAGCTGCAGGAGGTATATTTCCTAGGTCCTGTAAGCACAAACCCCTACCTCGTCTGCCTTCCCACACTGCCAGTGTAATCCATTTGGGACATTCAGTGCTCCAAACATTTACTAGAACTGAGGGAAACCTGGGCTTACAGCGCCACCTAGAGCTGAAAAGGAGGTAGCGACATAGCAGTGAAGATTTGTCAGCAAATACATGCAATAAAAACCAAAACAAGCTGGACAGAGATAACTGGAATAAATAACTAATTCTTCCAGTGCAAAGACATGGGAAAGACCCACAAGAAACAACAGCAAACAGGGAATCATGACCTTCTCAAAAGGACAAAGCAAAAATCCTGGCCCAGCACGGTGGCTCAAGCCTGTAATCCCAGCACTTTGGGAGGCTGAGGTGGGCGGATTACCTGAGGTCAGGAGTTCAAGACCATCCTGGCCAACATGGTGAAACCCTATCTCTCTACTGAAAATACAAACAAAAAAAATTAGCTAAGCGTGGTGATGCATGCCTATAATCCCAGCTACTTGAGAGGGTGAGGCAGGAGAATCACTTGAACCTGGGAGGCGGAGAGTGCAGTGAGCCAAGATCGCCCCACTGCACTCTCCAACCTGGGTGGCAGAATGAGACTCCGTCAAAAAAAAAAATCCCAAAACTAACCCTAACAAAACAGCAGTTTGTGAGCTCTCTGACCAAGACTTCAGAATAACAATTTTAAGAAAATTCATTGACCTCTAAGATAATACAGAAAAGCCATAAAGAAATTTGACAGATACTGGAATACTTTTTCAAAACAAAAAATAAAATATTGGAACTGATAAATACATTTGCTGAACTGGAAAAGTCTTTTGAGGCTCTCAACAGCAGAATGAACTAAGCAGAGGAAAAAAATCGGTGAGCTCAAGGACCAGCTATTTGAAAATACACAGTCAGAGGAGGGAAAAAAGAGAATGAAAATGACTGGCTACAAGATATAGATATCTACCTCAGAAGACCAAATCTAAGAGCCATTGATGTTCAAGAGGGAGCTGAACAAGAGGTAGAAAGCTTATTCAAAGAAATAATAACTGAAAACTTTTCAAAACTTGAGAAAGACATAAATATCCAGGTACAGGAAGGTCTTTTAACACCGAACAGATTCAACCCCCAAATAAGACTACCTAAAGGCATGTAGTAATCAAATGCTAAAGGCCAAGGACAAAGAGAAGGTCCTTAAAACAGCAAAAGATAAGAAGCAAATAGCATATAAAGGAGCTCCAAGTCATCTGGCAACAGCCTTCTCAACAGGCCAGGAGGGATTGGAACAACATTTTCAAAAAAAAACTGTCATCTAAGAATATTGTATCCAGCAAAATCGTCACTCAAATATGAAGGAGAGACACAGTCTTTCCTAAACTCAAAAGCGGACCCATCTTGCAAGAAAAGCTAAGGGGAGTTCTTCAGTCTGAAAGAAAACACTAATGTGCAGAAGAAAACATTTCAAGGTATAAAATCCACTGGTAGAATTAATACTTTGTATAGAATTTTTTAGTATGGGGCAATTTTATAATACAGAGAATAGAGCAGTTAGGCAAAAGAAAGAAAGTTCATCCAAATTGAAAAGGAAGAAAACAAATTAGCCTTGCTCACAGATGACATGATCTTATGCCTATAAAAACCTGAATACTCCACCAAAAAACTGTTGGAACTGGTAAATTTAGTGAAGTTACAGGATACAGAATCAACATACAAAAATCAGTAGCATTTATAAACACCAACAGGAGATAATCTGAAAAACAAATTAAGAAAGCAATCCCATTTACCACAGCTACAAAAAATATAAAATACCTGGGAATTGATCTAACTAAAGAAGTGAGATAGCTATGTAAGAAAAACTATATAAAATTCTGATGAATGTAATAGAAGTGGACACATAAAAAATGTAAAGATACTCCATGCTTATGGATTAGAAGAATTAATATTATTAAAATGACAATGCTACCCAAAGCAATCTACAGATTCCGTGCAGTCCCTATCAAAATGCCAATGACATTCTTCACAGAATGACATTTCACCAAAAAATAAGAACCCTAAGATTTAAATAGAATGATAAAAGACCCTGAATAGCAAAAGCAGAACTGAGCAAAAAGAGCAAAGCTAAAGACATCACACACTGTCTGATTTCAAAATTTACTACAAAGCTATGATAATCAAAACAACATGGTACTGACATAAAACCATACACATGGAGCAGTGGAACAGAACAGAGAATCCTGATATACATTTATGCATTTACAACCAACTCATTTTTGACAAAGGTGCCAAGAACCTACAATGGGGAAAGAACAATCTTTTCAATAAATAGTGCTGGGAAAACTGGATAACTGTATGCAAAAGAATGGAAGTAGACCCCTATCTCTTATGATACACAAAAATCAAATCAAAATGAATTAAAGACTTACATCTGAAACTTCAAATCTAAGACCTATGAAACTAATACAAGAAAACATTAGAGAAATGCTCCAGGACATTGGCCTATGCAAAGATTTTTTTGTGGAAGACCTCGAAAGCATAGGCAAATAAAGCAGAAATGGCCAAATGGGATTAGATCCAGCTAAAATGTTTCAGCATGGTAAAGGAAGAAACCAACAAAGTGAAAAGACAACCCATGGAATGGGAGAAAATATTCACAATCCATCTATCTGACAAGGGATTAATAACCAGAATATATAAGTAGCTCAGACAACTCAATAGCAAAAAACAAATAATACAATTTAAAAATGGACAAAAGATATAACATTTCATATATGAAATGTCAAGTATATGAAAAAATGCTCAGCATCACTAATCGTCAGAGAAATACAAATCAAAATCACATTGCAATATCATTTTACCTTAGTTAAAATGGCTCATACCAAAAGACAGGCATAGAGAACAGTGCAGAGGTTTCTCAAATAACTAAAAATAGAAGTACCATATGATTCAACAATTCCAAAAGAAAATCCAAAAGAAAGGAAATCAATATGCTGCAAGAAATCTACACTCTCATGTTTATTGCAGCACTATTCACAGTAGCCAAAAACAGAATCAACCTAAATGACAATCAGTGGATGAATGAATAAAGAAAATGTGGTATATATACACAGTGGAATATTATTCAACCAAAAAAATAAAAGAATTATATTTTTGCAGCAACATGGATAGAACTACAGGTCATCGTTTTAAATAAAATAAGCCAAGCCCAGAAAGACACATATCATATGTTCTCACTCACATGTGGGAGCAAAAAAAGGTGGATCTCATGAAAATAGAGAGTAGATTGGTGGTTACCAAAGGCCAGGAAGGAAAGGGGGAAGGCGTGGAGGATGAAAATGGAAAAAAAAGAATGTATGTGTTTTTATTACCACTGAAATGTATGCTTTGAAATTGTAAAGATGGCAAATTATATATGATTACTTTACCTTAATAAAAATAAGTTTAAGAAGTAAAATGCAAAACTATAAAACCTCTAAAAGATAGCAAAGAGAAAATCCAGATGATCTTGGACTGAGCAATGACTTTTTAAATGCATGATCCATAAAAGAAAGAAATGATAAGGCAGATTTCATTAAGATTAAAATTTTCTGCCCTTCTAAAGATGCTGTGAAGAAAATGAAAAGACAAGCCACAGACTGAGAGAAAACATTGCAAAAGGCTTATCTGATTAAGGACTGTTAACAAAATATACATAGAACTCCTATAAAACAGTAACACAGACAACCCTCTTTTAAAATTAGCAAAAGACCTTTACAGTCACCTCACCAAAGAGGATATACAAATGGAAAGCAGACATATGAGAAGATACTTCACCGCATATATCATCAGGAAAATGCAAATTAAAACAATGAGATACCACTACACACCTGTTAGAATGGCCAAAATGTACAACATTGGCAACACCAAATGCTGGTGACGATGTGGAACCACAGAAACTCTCATTCATTGCTGGTGGGAATGCAAAACGATACAGCCACTTTAATAGTTTGGCAGTTTCTTACATAACTAAATGTATTTACTTTAGGATCCTGCAGTTGTGTCCTTGGTATTTATTTACCTGAATGAGTTTAAAACATATATTCACATGAAAACCTGCAAGCAAAGGTTTATAGCAGCTCTGTTTATAATTGCCAAAACATGGATGGAACCAAGATTATCTTTCTGTAGGTGAATGGATAAATAAACTGCAGTACATCTAGACAATGGGATATTATTCAGTGCTAGAAGGAAATGAGCTATCAAGCTATGAAAAGACATGGAGGAAACTTAAATGCATATTACAAAGTGAAAGGAACCAATTTTAAAAAGCTATATACTGTATAATTTCAAGTGTGTGACATTCTGAAAAAGGCAAACAATAGAGGAGGTAGAAGATCAGCAGTTGCCAAGAGTTAGGGGGAGAGGGAGGGATGAATAAGTGGATCACAGAGAAGTTTTAGGGCAGTGAATCTGTTTTGCATGACACTGTGTATTAGTCTGTTCTCATACTGCTATAAAGAACTACCTGAGACTGGGTAATCTGTGAAGAATAGAGGTTTAAGATTCACAGTTACACAGGCTTAACAGTAAGCATGACTGGGAGGCCTCAGGAAACTTAAATCATGGCGAAAGGTGAAGGAGAAGCAGGCATCTTCCTCACATGGCAGCAGGAGACAGGGAAGGGGGAAGTGGGAAGTGCCACACACTTTTAAACCATCAGATCTCATGAGACCTCACTATCACAAGAACAGCAAGGGGGACATCCACCCCCATGATCCAGTTACCTCTCACCAGGCCTCTTCTTCATTTCAACATGAGGTTTGGGCAGGGACACAAGTCCAAATCATATCATTTTGTTCCTGGCTCCTCCCAAATCTCATGCCCTTCTCATATTGCAAAATACAAGTATCTCTTCTCAATAGTGCACCAGTCTTAACTTGTTTCAGCATTAACTCAAAAGTTTATAGTCCAGACTCTCACCTGAGACAAGGTAAGTCCTTTCCACCTATGAGCCTGTAAAATCAAAAGCAAGTTAGTTACTTCCAAGATACAGCGAGGATGCAGGCATTGGGTAAATGCTCCCATTCCTAATGGGAGAAATTGGCCAAAACAAAGGGGCTACAGGCACCAGGCAAGTCTGAAACCGACCAGGACAGTCATTCAATTGTAAAGCTCCAAAATAATCTCCTTTGACTCCGTGTCTCACATCCAGGTCATGCCAATGCAAGGGGTGGGCTCCCAAGGCCTTGGGCAGCTCCACCCCTGTGGCTGTGCAGGGTACAGCCCCCTTGGCTGCTTTCACAGGCTGGTGTTGAGTGTCTGTGGCTTTTCCAGGTGCATGATGTAAGCTGTCAGTAGGTCTACCATTCTGGGATCTAGAGGACGGTGGCCCTCTTCTCACAGCTCCACTAGGCAGTGCCCCAGAGGAGATGCTGCATGGGGGCTCCAACCCCACATTTATTGTCTGCACTCCTCTGATAGAAGTGCTCCATGAGTGCTCCACCAGTGCAGCACACTTTTGCCTGAACATCCAGGCATTTCCATACATTCTTTGAAATCTAGGCGGAGGTTCTCAAACCTCTGCTCTTGCCTTCTGCACACCTATAGGGCCAACACCATGTGGATGCCACCAAGGCTTGGGGCTTGTACCCTCTAAAACCATGGCCCAAGCCACACCTTGGCCCCTTTTAGCCATGGCTGGAGCTGGACCAGCTGGGGTGCCATGTCCCAGGGCTGCACAGAGCAGCTGGCCCTGTATCTGGCTCATGAAACCATTTTTTCTTTCTAGGTCTCCAAGCCTGTGATGGCAGGGTCTGCCGTGATGGTCTGTGAAATGCCCTAGAGACATTTTCCCCCACTGTTTTGGCTGTTAACATTTGGCCCCTCTTTACTTATGCACATTTGGGTGATAGGCTTATATTTTGCCCCAGAAAATAGGTTTTTCTTTTGTACCACATAGGCTGCAAATTTTCCAAACTTTTATGCTCTGCTTTTTAAATATAAGTTCCAGTTTTGGATAATCTCTTTGTTCATGCATATGAGCGTATACTTTTAGAAACAGCCAGGTCACCTCTTGAATGCTTTGCTGCTTAGAAATTTCTTCTGCCATATACCCTAAATCATCTCTCTGAATTCCAAAGTTCCACAGATCTCTAGGGCAGGGGCAAAATGCCTCCAGCCTCTTGGCTAAAGCGTAGCAAAAATGACCTTCCTCCAGTTCCCAGTAAGTTCCTCGTCTCCATCTGAGACCACCTGAGGCTGGATGGACTTCATTGTCCATATCATTATCAGCATTTTGGTCAGAATCATTCAACAAGTCTCTAGGAAGTTTCAAACTTCCCCACATCTTCCTGTCTTCTTCTGAGCCTTCCACACTGTTCCAGCCTCTGCCTGTTACCCAGTTCCAACGTTGCTTCTACATTTTCAGGTATCTTTATAGCAGTGCCTCACTCCCTGTACCAATTTTCTGTATCAGTCTGTTTTCACAGTGCTATAAAGAAGTACCTGAGACTGGGTAGTTTTTGAAGAAAAGAGATTTAATTGGCTCACAGTTCCACAGGCTGCACAGGAAGCATGACTGGGAGGCCTCAGGAAACTTACAGTCATGTGGAAGGCGAAGGGGAAGCAGGCACCTTCTTCACATGGCAATAGGAGAATGAAGGGGGAGATGCCACACACTTTTAAACCATTGGATTTCATGAGAACTCACTGTCACAAGAACAGCAAGGGGGACATCCACCCCCATGATCCACTCACCTCCTACCAGGCCTTTCCTCCTATTCAACAGGAGATTTGAGTGGGGACACAAATCCAAACCATATCACACTATAACAATAGATATATGTCATTATAAATTTGTCCAAACTCATGGAATGCACAACATCAAGAGTAAACCCTAACATGGACTCTGGGTAATACTGATGGATCAATGCAGGTTCATCAATTGTGACAAATGTGCCACTCAAGTTGGGGAGTTTAATAATGGAGGAAGCTATGCATGGTGGGGAAGAGAAGATAAGGGAAATCTCTGTACCTTCCTCCCAACTTTTCTGTGAACTTAAAACTGCTCTAAAAAATAAAGTGTTTTTTAAAAAATAGTGCATTTATAACCACTGTCACTACCATTACCACCACTTCTAGTACTTCTTATATCCCTTTTCTGCTACATATTTCTCCTTCGTGCTTAGTACTTAATCACCTTTTAATGCATATATGTGTGATATTAATGGATATTAAATATATTGTAATGAATTTGTGGCTGACTCTGGAGAGTGGGATTGCATAGGTAGGTATTTGAAGCACAGTGTTTACATTTTTACTTTTACGTCTCTGAATAGTATTAGAGTGTTAATGACAACTTACCTCATAAAGTTTTTTGAGCATTGGCTGGGCGTGGTGGCTCACACCTGTAATCCCAGCACTTTGGGAGGCCGAGGCGGGCAGATCACAAGGTCAGGAGATCGAGATCTTCCTGGCTAACACGGTGAAACCTCCTGTCTACTAAAAAAAAAAATACAAAAAACATTAGCCAGGTATGGTGGCGGGCGCCTGTACTCCCAGCTACTTGGGAGACTGAGGCAGGAGAATGGTGTGAACCCAGGAGGTGGAGCTTGCAGTGAGCCGAGATTGCACCACTGCACTCCAGCCTGGGTGACAGAGCGAAACTCTTGTCTCAAAAAAAAACCAAAAAAAAAGGTTTTTGAGCATTAAGTGATATAATATCTGAATAGTATTTAGCACAGCCCTTGACATAATGAAATTCTGCCTGTATGCATTACTACTGTCGTTGGAATTGTTAAGTGACATCTCTTAGCAATGCCTGTATGTATGAAGGTTCTGTCTGTGTCCTATGCGTTCCATCCAAGTCAAAGGATAATAGAGTATACCAGAATGAGATTATCCAAGGTCCTTGACATAAGAATTTCTAGAACTATCTAGTAAAATTGGAAAGAGCCTCATTAGACTCATTTTGGAGATTATTTACAAGTGTTCTATCCTCTCTTATGACGTTAGATATATCAACTTTGGAAATGGATGCTTATGTTAACTGGGCACGCAGTGTTTTCTCTTCACACCAAGTGATGTTATCTTTGATCCAGTGCGGACCCAGGCGCTCTTTGCCACTGTAGTAGAGAATTTAACTGATAGTTCTAGCTCTCTTCTGCCTGATCTTGTCCTGACCTCTGAAGAGATGAAGCCCTCTTATATATAGATGGTCCTGTCTGCAACTCATCTGGAACTTATAAGCTAAGATTTCAGAAGAGAGATATATTAGACAACCCCTCTAATCTTTGAAACATCTTTTAGGTCCACTTGCACACACTGTGGTTCTGATTATGGCCTCTAGTAAATGTTAATGATAGAAAAAACAGCTTTTATTTTGGTGCATTAAGCTTATATTGACCATTTTGAGCATAAAATCAGGTAAACTGAAATTTAACACTTGTTCTCTTTCTGAAATGTGTTTACTCTTATATATTTTTTGTTTGTTGAGTTTTTAAATGCTAATTTTAAAGACTCATAATTAGGTGACATTTTTACTCAGTTTAAGAATTCAATTCATATTTTATTAATGAATTGTAGACTACTATATTTTTAAAATAAAGGAGAGCCTGTGTGTTACAAAATAGCAAGTAACATGGTTTTTTAGCTTATATTTTTCATTGTTGAAAATAAATCTAATATCTTTATGTCTATAAATTACATTTTGGATCTAAATCTATACACTGGTTGTTATTTAGTTCTTATATTTTATATATGAGTTATAATTAGTTATGCATGTCTGTGAACTTTATATATTTTGTATCTAATTATATTTTTCTGTTAATATATTTCCATTCACGTTTTATAAATATTGAAATTATTTCACAAAAATACAGTATTTGTGTTTTAAAATAATTTAATCCTTAGTAGATAAGTTTATAAAACAAAAATAGTAACAGAGATCTTGCCATTATACACATTTTACCTTATTAATAAGTGATACGTCAGCCAAACAGTGCTAAAGCTAATGCTGTAGAAATAAGATTAATCTGACCATTGCGGCCTTCTTTCAGCACATCCAGTAAATTCTGGATGGATGCCCTGTATATTTAAAAGAGTGCCCCAAGAGAGGAGAGACTTAAAGCACAAAAAGTAGCATTAAAGTAAACTCAATTTTCAACGATGTTTCCTCACCTAGATAGCATATGTAGGGTAAATATATTTTGAAAAACCATTAAAGAATCTGGTAGGTATTTTTCAAGATCAGAAATATGAACTGGAGCATACCTGACTAAATTGTAAACAGAACTGCAGGATAGCTGATGTTTACGTTTAATGGGCAACAAACGCCAAGTCAGTAACCTCTGTTAAAATTGGAATCGGTAATCCCTGATTCACCACAGTGAAGGCCAAATTTTATGTAATCTTATATACTACTAGTTCAACAAATATTTGAAGACTTACTATAGCACCCTACACTAGTAAATATATGTGTATTTTAAAATCTGCAGTTTAATTAATGTTTCATTCTATATGAACTTAGTTTTAAAATAGGCTAAATAATTTAAAATACAACTTTTTCATATTCATGCAGTGAAGTTACTGAGTACCTAGAGATGCCTGGCACTGTGCTGAAAACTATAGCATATATTGTTTCAGTACTCTTTTTTGAAAATTTTAGAAAGTAATAATTTGGATCAGAATATTGTATCAGCTTGCCTGGAGTTGCTACCTACTTTGAAATCTTTGATATATAAAATATATACATATGGCAAAATTAAAAGCAACTAAATGAAGTCATTCTATTTATCAGTACAGTCTTGCACTTATTTCAAACAGAATTGAAATATGTTATCTGCTTGTTATATTCTATGCCTCCCAGCCTTCTGATTAGTATTCCTTAGAATTCTTATAAAAATTTCCAAAGAAAATGGTGGTTATTTCAAAAGACAAGATATAATGTCCATTTTTAATTTTGTCTTTAGAAGTATATATTCAAGGAAATTTGTATCTTAGATTAAATGAAATGTTTTTAATTTTTTGTTACTGAAATTGTTTAGTTGGGCCCTACATATTAATCATACGTATAACTAGAAAACTTGCTAAGAATAAATTTTAGAGAAATAATATGTAATGGTTGTTTACATGTTTAATTGCATATTTCAGTGATATAAAATTTAAGAAACCTTAAGAGATTTTTACATAGATGGCACAAAAATGTAAAATATTTTCATGCTTAAAATAAGCTAGGCAACCTGGTTTTCTTTACATAAAGTTTGTTATTCACTTTTTTTTATTGAAGGTGATATTTATATTCCAGCTCAAATGAGGGTTGAATTGGTTTAGTCTGTGTGTATTGTTCCATGAAGAGAAAGGCTAAGTGATTCTAGCATAGACACCAAAGCTACTATCCTTGTTTGTCCTTGTTGCTTCTTGAAGGAAAATCTTGTTCATCTAAGTTATTACATATTGATGTGTCTATGGTTTATATTAGTAATAAAAAGACAATTGAAAAGAATGAAGAAAATGTATCAAAGTTCTTAGGAGATTGACTAAAACTACTGTTTTTACATAGCCTTAAATATATTTTTTAATCTTAAACATAAGCATTTGCCCAACCTTACAGAACACTTTTTATATTCTTATAAATATCTTAATTGTTTTTTTTCTTCTAGGGGATATTCGTCTAACCCCAGAGGACTTTGCTAGAGCTCAGAAGTACTGCAAATATGCTGGCAGTGCTCTGCAGTATGAAGATGTAAGTACTGCTGTACAGAATCTACAAAAGGCGCTCAAGTTACTGACGACAGGCAGAGAATGAAGCCTTTGTATAACAGACCCATGTATTTTTGGCATGAGGAACTAACAGTCCATTACTCTATCTTCAGCCTATCAGGATCACAGTTTTAAGGAAGACTTGGTTTCATTTAATATGACAATGAAATCTGTGTGTATCAGATTTTTATTGAAGCATTCAGCAGCAGCCTCAACCAGTTTTCGTTGTCCATTTAGTAGATTCAGTCATCTCTGAGTATATAGGGCTGATGTCAGCAAGACCCTAAAAATTCTCATTGAACCCCGCTTCAACAAATGAAAACACATCTATAAAATGTATACTGGGAATAACCTTTGTATTTACATACATTAGGGGAATTTTTTAAAATCTGTAATGTTTGGACAAACAGATGATATTACTTTGCTATAAAATTATAAATGTAACTTTTAATAAAGATTGCCAGAATATTCTAAATTAGAAATTATGTTTTTGTTTCCCTCAAGACATAAAACAAATATGAACATTCTAAACTGGTGGATTAATCTGAAAAGACATTCAGTTCAAATTTTAATTTATTCTCATGTTAAATGTAACTCTATTAAAAGTTTAATATTTCATGGGAGAAAATATGATAAGGTAAAGAGGTAGAATCACTTTCAGACTTAAGAATAATGTTGATTCCCCAACTGCTTTACCTTATTTATGCTTCATAGGCAGTTTGACTGCATGTATTAGAGAATGAAAAGAAGGTATTTGCCTGGAAACTTGGTGCTCTAAATTAAGGTACTCCTCTGCTGCTGTAGAATGGATTCCACACAGTGGATAGCTATGGATGATTCAGAATATTATGTTTAGATTCCCATTTGTTAAGTTTATAAGTTTTGTGGGGAATTATGAACTTGCTGTGTACCACCTGCATTTGTACTGTGTGAAAAATAAATACAAGGATTCGTTTAGCTAATTCAACTTACTACAAAGACAAATGTCTGTTTTTATTTGCCTGCTAGAATTGTCTTTTTTTAAAGTCCTTTTTATTTATAGGAATATGGGTGTTTCTATAGGAAGAAACAGGTTTTTTGTTGTTGCTGTTTTTAAAGATAAATTTGACAAAGTTACCTGAAATTTATCTGGTCCATTTTATTCATGCTACTAAGATGGAAATCTTTAAACACAAGGGTGAGCAAGCTTTGGCCCATGGATTGGCCACCTGTTAATGTAAATAAAGTTTCTTTGAAACAAGCCTATACTCACTCATTTATGTTTTGTCTGTGGTTGCTTCACAACTGCAGAGTTGTATGGCTTGCAAGTCTGAAAACATTTACTGTTTGGCCCTCTAAGAAAAAGTTAGACACCTAGTCTAATGGCCTGTTTGGGAAAAAAACGCATCACTAACTCGTAATCATTTATATCCATTATTTTCTGCATAAATGTAATGCTATTGTACAAGGTTTGGTAGAATAAATATTCAGACTGACTATTCTAAATTATCACAAAAATATCCCCAAAAAACATGCCTCCTAAAAAACATTTTCCTATCTTTTACAAGATGTATGAACATTTGTAGGGTTCCACATTTGCATCTAGAAATCCAGTGCTCTTCAGAATGTTACTAGATCGCCAGGATGACTTTTAGCATTATATGATGTTCAGCAAATTTTAATTTAAACTTTGGTATGTCTGTACACTAAAAAGTAAACC